GGAACATATTTTCAGCGTGTGCTTTGCTTAATCTCAAACGGCCAGATCAAATTACACTGCTGGATGAGGGCCTCTTCAACCGTTGGGGTTTTTTGACCATACTTCACCAACCTGGTCAGTGTGGGTTGGCAAAGGTTGGGAGTATAAACGTGGGAGCATAGAAATACATTACAACAAAGGATTTTACTGCACTGCCCTCTGCTGATAATATGCCCTGCAACAGCCTACAACACATGCTTTATGCATACTGGTCACCCATCCAAGAATTATCCAGGCTCAACACTGCTTAGCTTCTGCAATCTGACGAAATCGGCTGCATTACACCGCTGATTTGGTCAAAGGCTGGTTGTATTCATACAACAGTTTAATTGTTAAGAGCTAGCTATGCTGGTAAAAGGAGAGGCTCTGCCAGGTGTAGCTATCTAAATGTAAAATCTTGCAGCCAACTCTCAAAGTGTGTGCATTGTGTGCAGTGCAAAAGGCAAAGCCACCCCCTCGCAGAGGTACGACACAGATATGCAAGCCCACTGGAATGTGTCCCCAACTGGCAGCAAGTACTAGCGTGGCTTGCGCCTCAGAAAACATCCACTCTGGTATTCAGCTCTGCCGGTGCCAACCTCATGAACTTCCATATTTTGATTGATTATATTCACTATGTGCCTATTGTGAACCCATGTAGACCTTCAACATTTCTATTCAATTCCAAGATTGCTAAGAATTCTGAATGAAGCTTGCACGTGCACACGCTAAAGGGCCACACTCCAGAGTTTGGGCACGCAATTCATTTTTAGCACGGAACACACAGTCAAACTGCCCGATTGGAGCATGCCCTGTGGTGTGAACTTGCCTCATGCCTGACAGTGTGCAGCTGCATAACCCTGCTGCCTCAACTGTGGGAGGTCCATCAGCAGGCGGTAGCAAGGCCAGCCACGTGCACTGCCAAAGCCGCAAATCAGGCAGAAGAAAGCTCTATTAATAGTCGTGGCTGCTTTTTCTTAAAAAAATTAATTGAAGACAACTAGGTGCAAAGGTAATGGTGCAGCCCTGCAATTGTTTGTTCAAGACACTGCTGGCGGAAGGGCCTCCAGTAGATGGAGCTCTATGGAACTCCCATGCTGACCAAATATCTGGGAAAAGGTGTGTCTACCCACAATTGATCTTGCCACATGCGACACGCCAATAGACTGTGGTGTACCCATTGTAAAATCCTAGTTTTATTTCTTAGTAGATTTGGATAACTCTATATCCACACAAGACCTCAAATACACGACCTTAAAAACCACAGTATACAAATGGCTACCAGACTAGGTCAAACGAGCTGTGGTTTTGCTCAGAGGTGCAACTTATCACATTCCTCGTAAAACTATGATGACTTTCCACACAAATCCATTCCACTGCACTTGCTCATCTTCTCCACGGCAATGGCCTGCGTCAAACAAGTTAAACTGCCAAAATCTAACCAACGGGGTCAAGTGTTTAGGTTGTGCCAGCTGTAGGCAATCCAAAACTTTTACGGCTGGAAGCAAAGGGTATATAGCCTAAGGCAGGGGTTGGCAACCTACGGCTCCGGAGCCGCATGCGGCTCTTTACGGGCTGCTTCTTGACGATATGTACGTATGTACAGTATGTACTCAGATGCATTGCGGCTCTTGAAATACTGAATTTTGTACCGAATTGGAAAGAAATGGCTCTTTTTGTTATTTTGGTTGCCGATCCCTGGCCTAAGGCATCGTCATACAAAACATTATACAGCACCGTTATTTGTTAACACAGCCATGCGTATCATCATCGGAACACTGACATCAACGCCAACACCTTGGCTCCCCATGCTACCGAGCATCATGCCACCCCACATTTGCCGAGCAGTGGCATCATCAAGGGAAGGACAGGGCTACGTCAAACGCCGAACCGCCGATTTGGGACGATCTCAACCGGCTCTCCCTTAACTTACGCGAGTAATATAAAATGCCGACCACATTGTTACCACCTTAGGGGCAGATGGCAAACAGCATCGATGGATGTAGAGGTGACCCAAAAAAGACTTCATCACACCTCAGTGAGCCAAATGAATCCGCTCCTGGTTTCTCGCTGCCCCACGGTGAATCGTATTTAGACATCGCATGGTCGATGCACTTCATCTATGACTGCAGAGTGGAACAATGAAGAACATTGTCAACCCACTCCCCATCAAGAGCATTTCACGAAGGCACCAAAGCAAACCATTAGCTTACAACCAACGTTGCCGAGTAAATAAAGAACTTAAGATATTGACTTTTTACTTTTGTTTCTGTTCGAACTAAACAGTTGAGTATCTTTGCAACACGCCCATATGAAGGCAATGTTGTTACGGGTTAAAGGTTGGGTTTATGCATTAAAGTCTTGCAGAGGTATGGTCTTTTATCTGCTGAGCAGTCACCCACAAGAAAAGCTCTGTTGTCAGTTACATTAATCAACTTAAGTAGATTTCAATCATTTTTCCCCCTTAAAGCAACATAACTAATCATTGCATCTTTAGAGTTCAAGTCTTCATATTTTTTTTTCGTGCACTGAACTTGTAATCGTTTTATGGTTTTGTTTTGGATAGTTAAATTACAGGTATAGTGATGCTTTGGGCTGATTGTTAATGATATATTGAACCTCAGAACATATTGGTGTAAACTATACGTACATTTTCATCTAAACCAGTGGTTTACAACCTTCTGGACCTGCATTGCTCTCACAAAAATGTGCAAATTACAAAGCACCAGTAACAATTCTTTCAACATTTAGACTACCGTACTCAGTAAAATGTCAATTGACCTCCATATAAACAATTGATTTCCTTGCTTTTCATTGCTTTGTATTAATGAGATGGCTGAGGCTACACGGGGTTTTGTGATGAAATCACAGTATACTCAAGTTCCGCAGATGACTTCCAATGGCTTTGCAGATCACCAAGTGTGGTCTGTGAACCACAGGTTGCAAAACACTGATCTCTCATTTCTCAGCTTGACAGCTATAATGCAAAAGCAATGAAAGACCACACACACCTTAAATGAAGCACTCTAAGGGCAGCCTATAGAATCATAAAACGGGGAAAATAACTCCAGTTGAGTTATGGGATAAGATACCAACACACAGGGGTCACCCTGGGTCGGATTCCCACTGCAGCTTAATACTAAAACTAAACTATTTTTTTTACTAGGTAAGGTCCACAATTGATAGCTCAACGAAAGTGGCTTATCATGCGGAAATTCATAGCAGCCAAATATTCTCAATGAATGCCTCTAAATGTGGAGGGAAGAGCCGGAGGACCCGGAGAAAAATCCACACCACCACAGGAGGAAAAACATGCAAACTCCAAAAATACAGCAGGCGTCAGGGTCGGGACTGAACTTAGGACCTCCTGTATACCAGGCCAGGTAGTTAACCGTGGCGCCGCCGTTTTGATCAAAACAGTTGCAATAGCACAGGTCATTTTCTGTTATATAACAAGGGGCTCATGTGTGTGCTGCATTGAAAACGCACACAGCCTAGCAGTGGATAGAACACTGTAGTTGATGATGTGTGCATTGTAACATCAGCCCCTGGAACATGAAATAAACAAGTTTAACACGTAGGAGTTCGCGACCAATATTATGCACAATAAAGGTTTTTGGGTTAGATCACGTAAGTATAAATGTGTCGTAACCCTCCACCACCCGACACAACCAGCAAGGTTCGTCACGTAAACAAAACGCGCCAGTTAATTACTTCAGCCCACGAGTATGTTGTAGAGTAAATCCACAACGTTTACAATTTGTTTGACATTTACAATTATCACGAATGAAATAAACAAGTACAGTGCAACAGTTTTGATCAAAACATTAAAAGAAACACACGCACACGTGTTAATTTCATGCCAACTATTGCATTACACGGTCGTTGACAGCATGGGTGTGGGGAAAGGTCTGCGTCCAAAAGTGGATTGGCCACAGATAATGTTGATGCCGATTAAAGCCAATGTGGAAGTGCAGGGGGGCACTAAATCATGCCAAGCCCACTTGGGGCATCTCTTTCATTCTAGGCCATTGGCGTAGCTTGCAAAATCTTAGCGAAACACTGCAGTTTTGAGACTCAAGTTACTGCTACAGCATACGATTTAGCCACATCTGTGCCACTAAACTGGTCTGCCTGATTAATGAATGGCCCAGCATCATCCCCATCTCGACAGGACTGAGCCAGCCGGAATAGTGCTGGAGAACGAGCTAACACCCATGCGTTATAGCCTGCGTTGCTTCTGGGTCGGCAGCAGACAGCAGTGCCTGGAAAATCCACTGTTGTACGCTACTTCTATGCGACCGCGTCTTGGGGAGCAACTTAACGACCTCAGCACAACCGAGAAGTCATCATCATCACCACCACGACGACCACGAACAGCGGGCAGCTGATATTCGCCACGCAGGGTGACGCCAACACCGTGCTTTGTGCCAGGCTAGGTTCACTTTTACGACAACTAAGAAGCATACTCTTTTCTTGGTTCTTTAGGAAAAGTCACGTAGAAGGGAAATAATAAAATAATATTAATATAAAACAAAAATTCTCACGACGTTTCGACTGCAACACAAGCACTCATCATCAGGTGTGAAATCCACAGCAAGAACATTTGGAAAAAGTGGATTTCACACCTGATGATGATTGCTTGTGTTGCAGTCGAAACGTCGTGAGATTTTTATTGTTTTATATTTACATTATTTTATTATTTCCCTTCTACGTGACTTTACCGAAAGAACCAAGAATATGAATCCCTGCGGTCACGAAAGCTTTAAATCAAAATTTAAGAAGCATACTTTTTGGTTCTTTCGGTAAAGTCACGTAGGTATAAAATAAATTGAATTAAATCACGACGTTTCGGGCGCAACACAAGCGTCCGTCATCAGGTTTGTGACAACCACATCAACAAACAATTGCTGAACTAAGCAACTCACAACCACCACTGCACCACCGCCAGACAACGCGGTGTGACCCCTGCCTCCAATCACCTTGTAGACTTCGGAGAAGAATCCAGATCCGATCTTGAGCTCGCACACGAAGTCGTCCAGGCGAGCCAGCTTGCTCACGGCGCTGAACAGAGCCAGGTAAGAGGACGGCCTCAGGCGGCCAAGGCCGGGGATGTGGAAGGGCACCTGTGGGACGACAGCTGGATGATTGCTAGCGGTGGTAGCCGCCGCCGCCGTCACAACGTGGGCCAGGACTGTGTCCCCACGGCCCCCAGAGCCCGTGTCGGGCTGCAGGGAGCGAGGCTGGAGGAGGGCACCAGACTCGATCCAGCGCTGGGCCACATCGCCCACGTTCACCGCCACCGTCTTGTTGTTGATGTTGTTGTTGATGTTGTTCATCGTAGCTCCGACGGCACCGGCGTCTCCTGCTTGGACTCTCAGCGAACGAGCGCTCCCCGCGGCATCGCCCCACTCGGGCGAGACCGGAGTCGAGGCTTGGGCTTGAGGAGGAGGTGAAGGAGATGGAGGAGATGGAGCTGGTGGCGAGGCTGGAGATGCAGTCGATGCTGCTAGATCCAGGGCTGCAGTCGCAAGGGACGCGGCGGCTTCGGCTGTGGGATACGTCGCGACGAGCACGCCGTAGTTTAGGCGGGAGCTGGAACTAACACAGTGATGTGGGGTGGGGTGGTGGGTTGTCTATTGGAGAGCAGACTGTTAGGTTAAGGTAGCTGAACGATGCAGTTTGGAGCTCTATTCACTGCTGGAGCAGGAGCTCAAGGGCTCTGGATATGATGATACTCGAGCTGCAGCGCAGGCCCGAGTTGAAGCTGAATATGGATCCGCTGCGAGATGGTGAAGTCGACGCTGGAACTATCGTTCAGGCTTGACCCGTAAGAAAGCTGACGCCGCTGGACATCTATCCTATAGTGGCTATGAAGCTGCGACCACTTTGCTCTATCCGCTGCTGAACGCGAAGTTTAAGCTGAACTCGGCGGAGGGGAGCCGAGTTGGGAGCTTCTGAAGCTGCTGCTGCTACTGCAGTCAAGGCCGGAGCCGCTGCACCGATAATGGTTCGATTACGCCTCGGGAACCGGCTGCGACGTGCGCTCCTATTCGCCCTGAAGCTTGGTCAACCTTTCAGCTTGCTCTATCCACCGCTGGACGGGAACCGGAGCCGAAGCGAGAGAGAAAGAGCGAGAAACGTGGGGGCAGCTGCGCTGTAACTCGGCTTCTGGCGCCGTCTCCACGCGGCCACGCCCGGCCACCCACCCCCCACGCCGCGGTGCACGCTGGGATATGTTTACCCCTGGGCGTGACGTCATTAAAGGGGCAGTGTACACTTTGAGCGGTGCAGCTGAAAGGGCGATTGTGCGTGTGTGTGTGTTTTAAAGTTTATATTTTTTGAGCGTGTTGGACGTCGCAAGTAGCTTCGTACGCTTTTGTGCAATGGCACGTTTGCTGCAGCGGTGCTAATGCATTGGTCGTTAGCGCCGTTGCGTCGATCGGAATGGAAATAAGTAACAATTACGTTTTGGCGGCAAAGTATTTGTGGAAGTTGTTGCTACGTTACCGCTGCTGCAGCCGCCATAACGTGGAAACTGAAGCGTTCATTTGTGAGCTCAACCGGGCGATGATTAATCGATTAAGAAGTTAATCGGCCTAAACTACTTGATCGAACGCTTTCCAACATGTCTTGGGAAGTATATACGGGACTGTAAGTCCATAATAAAAAAAAATTGGGTTAGATCTCGTAAATATAAATGTGTCGTTAAACCCGTCACCACCCGACACAGCAAATTAGGGTTGTTATGTAAACAAAACATGCCAATTCACAAGTATTGTACCAGAATGGCATTGATTTGGCATGTTTGCACATAACGCAGTACTTTTATTGCTCTCGCTTATCATGAAGTGTTGGATATACCTTGAATAAATGTATTTGTATATGATGGCAATAGTGTACAGCAGTTGAATGTCTTAGTTCCTTTTTCATTTCTACTTCGTTTCACGGGTTTAATAAAACCGTTACTGGTGTACAATGAAGCATTGTTGAGTGACTTGGTGTTTTATGAATTAGAAAAGTTAAAAATATCTACTGTAATAATGTTCCACAATGCTACTTTTCTTACCCGCTAATCAGCGTAAATATTGGCAAGTATCATAAGAAGAACGGAATAATGTTAATGGCAAATAAGAAGATACTTCAACGATGGATTCCCCCCGTTGCACCGCGTGTTGCTTGGAATGGTGTCTGACGTTTCATTCCCAGCCCAGAATATTCACTTCCTGAAAAAGGCCCCCGGCATGTGGAGTGAAACGTCGGATATTGTGCCGAACGACACCCGAAAACTCCAGAGAGGACTGCACAGCACAACCGCGCGAAGAGGAGTTCAACTATTTTATTATAAGTACTGCAGTATCATTATAATTACCATCTCGAGACATTTTACAAGGTTAAAATAGTCAGGAGTTTAAAGGTACAACAATGAACGAGGTTGCAGGAAACAATGTACACATTTTACAAGGTTAAAATAAATTTTGATTTAAAGCTTTCGTGACTGCAGGGATTCATATTCTTGGTTCTTTCGGTAAAGTCACGTAGAAGGCAAATAATAAAATAATAAAATAATAAACAATAAAAATTCTCACGACGTTTCGACTGCAACACAAGCAATCATCATCAGGTGTGAAATGCACAGCAAGAAAATTTGAAAAAACAACAATGAACAAGGTAGCAGGAAACAATGTACACATTCTACAAAGTGAAAATAGTCAAGAGTAAGTTGCAACAATGAACAAGGTTGCAGGAAACAACATGAACACCGTCCTAAAAAAACCACGACGTTTCTACTGCAACACAAGCAATCATCATCAGGTGTGAAATCCACAGCAAGAAAATTTGAAAAAACAACAATGAACAAGGTAGCAGGAAACAATGCCCACATTTGACAAGGTTAAAATAGTCAAAAGTAAGTTGCAACAATGAACAAAGTTGCAGGAAACAACATGAACACCGTCCTAAAAAAACTACATATTTAAACTAGTGTAACTTATACAGGCAACATAGGCAACTTAAATAATGGCGGAGAACCTCTGCAAAGAACCAAGTTTGAGACTAAATTGAGTGGCTCACGATGCAATGGCTCCCTCTGCTGTTTACCGCAACGCCATCTCTCTCAGAACTCGTTTGTAAGCAATAGAAGCTTGTCTCTCTGCCTTTGACGTGGCCATGTGGGGGGACCACTTATTGCAAGTGCTTGAGTGATTATCAGGGGCTCACCCAGTGGAAATAGATTTAATATCTGTAAAAAAGCGACATTATATTGGCACGTGTCAACCCACGTGCTTTGAACAAGTTTAACACATAGGTTTTCACGACCAATATCATCCACAATAGAAGGTTTTTTGGGGGGTTAGATCGCGTAAATATATAAACGTGTCATTAAAACCCGCTACCACCCGACACAGCCAACTAGTAAGGTTTGTCACGTAAACAAAACGTGCCAATTCGTCACTAGTACAGCACACCGGTGTGTTGGAGAGCCAAGCCACGACATTTACAATCTGAGTACGACGTTTCGCCGGTAATTACAACTAGCTTCATCAGGCGACAGCCAGATTTGTGAAAAAAAACCCTCTATTATGGATGCTTAGAACAAGTTTGCATTTACAAATGCGCACGCACAGCCCACATTGACTCCAATTCTGGTAGGGGGCCTCCCCATATATCCTGCAAGTTGTGGGTGTTTCACCACATTTTCTCCTTGCTGGGTCGCAGCTGCCTGGTGAAGGCTGGGATAGTGTAGGCGTGGGAGCGTGGAAGTACAGCGTAATAATGCCCTGTGCTGCCAACTGCACTGCCCTCCCCTGCCCACAGTAGCCCAGCAGCCTATATCACCTGTCATGCACGGTAGTTGCACATCCAACTACTGTCCAGACTGAGTATTGCCTAGCTTCTGATATTTTACAAGATTGGGTGCATTCCGAGTGATATGGTAATTTTCAGACATATGGATATGATTTAATGTTATGTTTTTCTGTTTAACTTACGTTTTCAAACTTGTACGATTGTATTTGATCCGTTTTTACCATTTGTTTTGCTTTATTTAATGAACCTGGTTGCCCTTAACAGGTATAGATTTAGCCTCAATGGACCCTCGCCTAGTTTAAATACAGACTTTGATTAAATGTTTTCTTTATACATTTATAATTCTATATCATAACATATTAGATATATTTCTCGACAAAAAGAAAACATTTTGGAAAAGTATATTTTCCATCAGATTCATATATAGTCCGGTGTTGGACAAAGAACCAGCCATGCCATCCTCTCCTGCATGACCTTGAAAAACCTCTGTGCTACCTGATTGTTGTCATAGTCAAGGGTCACCACTATATATGCCAATTCGACGTGTGAAATAAAACGTCCACGAAGATGTATGGTCAGATTTTGGTAAATATTCTTCCGTGATTATTGTTAATCCTTTAATGCTCCAGAGATATTAATCATCTTGACGAAATATTTACGAAATAACAAACTCAATAGTTAACGTTCGAAACGAGTAGCCAGTATCCATTAATTTAGTTATTTGCAAATGTCTTTCACGGTAACGGTAATTAACAGCACATGGCAGCCTAATTTTTTAAGTTGATTTCTCGTGTAACTGACAGCACATACGTTCGGCATTAGAGGTTGTCAAGTTGTTTTGATGAAATTGCTTATGACAGCTTTTGGCGACGAGAACAGCATTTCAACAATCTAGATTTGGAAGTTTTCGTGACTGCAAGGATCCATACTCTTTGGTTCTTTCGGTAAAGTCACGTAGGTATAAAATAAATTAAATCACGACGTTTCGGGCGACATATTTCAGTGGTAGGAGGAACAAACTGGAGATTAAATTCACATGAATAAATATATAATTTCAGATGTTTCAATACAATTGCCAATTTTTTGGACAAAGATGACATCACCCAATGCTACGTGACATCACTTTTTTTGGATCAAAGCGAAACTAAATTAATTCCTGATAATACAAAATTGTGCACCTATTTTCAACATTTGGATTTCTCGGGGTTAATCCAGAAATCAGGAACATATCTCCAATACAGAGAGTGCATAGCGGCGGGGCTTAGATACTCCTCATTCCTGGAGCCCAGCTTGCTCCTAGTGGCTTAGTCCATTGAGACATATGAGTGCAGGAAGAGAAGAGGTGTAGTGAATTAACGTCAGGCAGCATCAAGTTTCCTACTTGATTTTCTTCACTGTTTGCCGACCTTTCCAGTCAGCTCCTGGCAGCTGGAGACTTATTTTATAGAAATGTTCAAACACCACACAGTTCCAAGGATTACGTGACATTTTGGACTTTTTTATTCTGGGGAAAAATGTTTCAACAATGTCTCTCTCTCTCTCGCAACACTCTGGTTATTTGCTGTCACAGTATGATGGTCATATATTTTCTGAAATAAAAGATTCTTCGGAAAGTAAAACGCACCCCGGATTTTTTTGTCTGATGTTAATAAAGTTATTGAAATATCTTGAATTGAAGCTTTCGTGACTGCACGAATCCATACTCTTTGATTATTTCGGTAAAGTCACGTATGTAGAAAAATAATAGATCACGACGTTTCGATCGCAACACAAGCAATCGTCATCAGGTGGGACAACTACAGCAAGAAAAAACTTATTGAAATATGGCACCCGCACACACGGGATTCTAGGATGTGTCTTCAACTTTTGCTCTGAAATGCAGGGGATAAACAGTGTATTATTATCCGGAAAAAAAACTGGAATGGTTGTTTGGTGTCTGAGCATTTATTTTTGCTGTCACAGCGTTTGAATTATAAATGCCCAGGTGATCATTGCAAAAGTGACAGTGTCACTCATCTCAATGTACTCAATGCAAATAATGACATATAAAAAAAATATGATTACCTAGTGCTGTTGAGCCAGTGTCAGGACTCAAAGAATAGTAGATACATTGCACCTTTAGAGATGTAACAATTCGCGTCCCTTGACGAGTCAATATTTAGTTTTAAGTTTCAGAGTAATCATCCAATTCAAGAATCATTAGTTAAATTATATTTTTATTTTATTTTGTGATGAATGCAGTGGACTATAGTGGTTGGATTGCCACATGATCAATCCACTTTTGGATGAAGGCCACCAAAAGCCGTTGCCATCACAGATGGTCCTGCAATGCAACAGTGCACCTAGGACATGCACCCGGAGCTGATTTCATTACTGCATCTCCATG